ACATCAATTCTACACATGTTGTGAAAATTTCAGACCAAGGTCATTCAAGGTCAGGTCACCAGGTCACTTGAAGTGACCTCACCTCATAAAAAGTTTCAATGTCTGTCATAGCTACACCGAGTGACCGATCGCTTTGAAACTTTCAGCGATTGCTAAGAGCAATAGCATGTACAAAATGTATATCTCAGAATTTTGATATCGATGACCTAAGGTCAGGTCAATTTTGCGACCTCCCCATTATAAGTCAATGGGAGAAAATTGAAATGCGCCTCTTTTGGATGAAAGACATTATAAACACCCCCAAACACCGAATAACAAGTGGTTTAGACACACTGAACTTGAAAATAGTGTCCGTGACCCTTGTTTATGCCCTGAGGTCATCTTAGGTCACGAATGGTATCTAACAGTTTTTCGCGAATAACTTTTGATAGAGGCATGCTAGAGCGATGAAAACGCCTTAGATGTGTTCAGCTCGACGATACGGATCGACTGATATGCAACATGACCCTTTCCGGTCAGGTCATGACCTTGACCTGAGGTCAAATTTTCAAGTTGACCTTTCAAGGTCAAATTATAGTTCATTCGATGCGTCTTGACGAGAGGAACACGATGCCGGTAAAAGTAAGCTCGTACAAGGCTTGGGTCAAAAGTTATTGCAGAAAAACTGTTTTAGAAAAAATCGGTTATTTTTGCAGTTTTTGCCCCCTGCAGGCGAAACCGTTGACGTTAGGTCAAATCTGAGAGAATTACTCAGAAAGGGCGTTAATAGGGCTATCGAATGCGCATTTCCGCGGCGCTGTAGCTCTATTGGTTCCCGAGTTATGCGTTGGCTTCTTGGAAATTTTCGACATTCGACCTGGAAATCGGCGAAATTTTGCCTTCAATGACCTCTGGTGACCTGACCTTTGACCTGACCAAAAAATTGACCGAAGTGATTTCGTCATTATTTTTTACGCTCTTTCGAACGCCGCCTTCCGCGTATCGCTACGTGGCCCAGAAGCCGAGTTACAAGGGGGGGGGGGGTGTTCAAACACCCCCCCCCCCCCCCAGCGGGGCGTGGAAATCCAGGACCCCCAGCAGGGCGCGGGTTAAGTGTCTCTGAGGGCCCCGCACTGGATTCTGAAGACCCGATGTCGAGCCAGCATCGGCCTCTGGGGCCCATCTTGGCCTTTGAGGGCCCTCCGCTGGTCTCTGGGGTCCAACACCGGCCCATGCCGGCCTTTTAGGGCCCCACACTGACCTCTTAGGGCCCATGCGTGGCCTGTAAGGACCCACATTAGCCTCTAAGGGCCCCCCGCACTGGATTCTGATGACCCAATGCCGGCCGCTCAGGGCCCGCATCGGCGTCTGAGGGCCCATCTTGGCCTTTGAGGGCCCTCTGCTGGCCTCTGGAGTCCAACGCCGGCCCATGCCGGTCTTTTAGGGCCCCACACTGACCTCTGAGGGCCCATGCTGGCCTATAAGGATACACATTAGCCTCTATGGGCCCCACACTGGATTCTGAAGACCCGATGCCGGCCTCTAAGGGTCCGCATCGGCCTCTGAAGGCCAATCTTGGCCTTTGAGGGCCCTCTGCTGGCCTCTGGGGTCCAACGCCGGCCAATGCTAGTCTTTTAGGGTCCCATTCTGATCTTTGAGGGCCCCATGCTGGCCTGTAAGGGTCCATATTAGCTTCCGAGAGCCCCCCGCACTGGATTCTGAAGACCCGATGCCGGCCTCTAAGGGTCAGCATCGGCTTCTGCGGGCCCATCTTGGCCTTTGAGGGCCTTCTGTTGGCCTCTGGGGTCCAACACCGGCCCATGCTGGTCTTTAGGGCCCCACACTGACCTCTGAGGGCCCGTGCTGGCCTGTAAGGACCCACCTTAGCCTCTGAGGGCCCCGCACGGGCTTCTGAAGACCTGATGCCGGCCTCTAAGGGCCCGCATCGGCCTAGTCTGAGGGCCCATCTTGGCCTTTGAGGGCCCTCTTCTGGCCTCTGGGGTCCAACGCCGGCCCATGTCGGTCTTTAAGGGCCCCACCCTAACATCTGAGGGCTCCATGCTGGCCTGTTGTAAGGACCCATATTAGCCTCTGAGTGCCCTATTCGGTCTCTGATGGTCTCAAACTGCCCTTTGCAGGCCCTGTACTGGTCTCTGAGGGCTCTAAACTGGCCCCTAAGAGCCCAAACCAGCCTCTAAAGGTCCCACGACCCACACCGGCCTCTGATGGTCCCATTTCTGTCCCTGGGACCGAAACTGCGCTTATGTGCCTCTGAGTGCCCCGTACTGGCTTCTGAAGGCCATCGATGCCGGCTTCTGAGGACCCATACCGGTCTTTAAGTGCCTCATAGCGACACCTGAGGCCCCACGCCTCTGAGGGGCCCGCAAACTGGCCTATGAGGTCTCTACACCGACCACTGATGGCCCTATCATGTTCTCTGGGGGGCTCAAACCTTACCTTTGGGCGTCACGCACTTGCTTATGAAGGCCCACATCAGCCTCTGGGGCCCTACCTGGGGCCTTTGAGGCCCTTCGCTGACCCTTGGGTCCAACGCCGGCCTCTGGGGGTCTGACACCGTACTCTAAGGGCCCCATTGCAGCCTCTAGGCGATAGGTATCGCCGAAGCGCTATCGATGGGCCCATAAGTGTAGGAACCATGGGTGCAGTGGGCGCAGTTGCACCAACAATAATTCTGCAGTGAGTGCAGACAATGTATTCTGCATCCACAATAATCTGGAACAAAACCCCCTTTCCTCAGCAACACTACTTTCCATGCAGCACGACAAATTTAGGATATTTTGCCCACTATCCGTCTTTCGAAGCATTTGCTACTGTACCTAATGGTCTTCAAAATTTGCATTTGTGCTCAAGTGAAAAAAGATTAAACGGAAGTCGGAGCACATGTGTGAACAGATACCGATGAGCCACTGTTAAAAGTTTTAGAACGATGATCTTAAAAAATGGTTAAGTTTTTTTTTTGCAAAGAAAATTGCAAAGTTAGCCGCCTTTACTTTTGCGGTAGTCCATTCACAGTTGCGTGAATTATTGACATAATCAGTGCTTCAAAATGCACTTTTCGGTACCTTTTCGACATGGTGCACCCTCAAAGCTCTCAATGAGCCTCCGCTTGGGTGCCGCTCCCTACCCCCCCCCCCCCCGCTTCACCGGCCATGGCCTAGATTTCTGCACCCGTACACTACGCCCGTGGGCCCCTTTAAGCTAGCACCGGGCCCCCCGGGTCAGCGCAGGGGCCCCTTTGCCAAGTTGGCCCCCCCCAAACTCCAAGTCTGCGACCGCCCCTAGATGACGCAAATGACTTTATGACAGCCACTCACTAATGTCTTATCAGGAATCTTATCTTCAAGCGCCGGGACATTTGATTTATTTAAAGTTGGAAATCTGGCTCTCCTTGAACTTGGCCCGGGGAGTCTAGCGCTATGCAATAGGCCGTAAACGGTATAGTTAGGTACTACTTACTACAATCGACCACAATCCATCAATGTAAGTTGACGAGGCGGATAATCTACAGCACCCCGTGGTGGTGGTGGTGGTGGTGGGGGGCATCCGATCAAACTAGGGTATCAGTCTTGGATCTTGCCAACTGAGCTACCTATTGGCTGCTACGGTAGCCGTACGGGTTCAGTTCGAAAAGACCCACGCCAACGTTTGTTAACCCGCGCCCTGCTGGGGGGGGGGGGTGTTTGAACACCCCCCTTGTGGTTTTTCGCGAATATCTCAAAAACGGCGGCGCGGAGCGCCGCCGTTTTTGGTACACCTTATCATACATCAATTCTACACATGTTGTGAAAATTTCAGACCAAGGTCATTCAAGGTCAGGTCACCAGGTCACTGGAAGTGACCTCACCTCATAAAAACTTTCAATGTCTGTCATAGCTACACCGAGTGACCGATCGCTTTGAAACTTTCAGCGATTGCTAAGAGCAATAGCATGTACAAAATGTTTATCTCAGAATTTTGATATCGATGACCTAAGGTCAGGTCAATTTTGCGACCTCCCCATTATAAGTCAATGGGAGAAAATTGAAATGCGCCTCTTTTGGATGAAAGACATTATAAACACTCCCAAACACCGAATTACAAGTGTTTTAGACACACTGAACTTGAAAATGGTGTCCGTGACCCTTGTTTATGCCCTGAGGTCATCTTAGGTCACGAATGGTATCTAACAGTTTTTCGCAAATAACTTTTGATAGAGGCATGCTAGAGCGATGAAAACGCCTTAGATGTGTTCAGCTCGACGATACGGATCGACTGATATGCAACATGACCCTTTCCGGTCAGGTCATGACCTTGACCTGAGGTCAAATTTTCAAGTTGACCTTTCAAGGTCAAATTATAGTTCATTCGATGCGTCTTGACGAGAGAAACACGATGCCGGTAAAAGTAAGCTCGTACAAGGCTTGGGTCAAAAGTTATTGCAGAAAAACTGTTCGAAAAAATCGGCTATTTTTGCAGTTTTTGCCCCCTGCAGGCAAAACCGTTGACGTTAGGTCAAATCTGAGAGAATTACTCAGAAAGGGCGTTAATAGGGCTATCGAATGCGCTTTTTCGCGGCGCTGTAGCTCTATTGGTTCCCAAGTTATGCGTTGGCTTCTTGGAAATTTTCGACATTCGACCTGGAAATCGGCGAAATTTTGCCTTCAATGACCTCTGGTGACCTGACCTTTGACCTGACCAAAAAATTGACCGAAGTGATTTCGTCATTATTTTTGACGCTCTTTCGAACGCCGCCTTCCGCGTATCGCTACGTGGCCCAGGAGCCGAGTTACAAGGGGGGGGTGTTCAAACACGCCCCCAGCAGGGCGTGGAAATCCAGGACCCCCAGCAGGGCGCGGGTTAAATGTAGCAATGACGTTGGTAGACTGTTTACTACGGATACTACCCTTCTAACACACTCTATCTGTAAAACATTTTATTGAATAAGAATGAACCAAAGTTCATTGAAATCTTTACAATCGCAAAATTGCCTTTCAAGCGTACACCTTTACAATATAGCAGCCACGATTTTCTTCAACCTTGCGGCATTTACTCACTTTCCGCGTCGCATTCGTTGCATTTCCTTGTTTGTGCTGGGAATTGTTGTTACTGGAAGCTGTCGTATAAGGCATAAGCTAAGATATAGTGAAATAAGTATTTTATTCGTCATTTAACAGCTCATTCACCTGGCTGAAATACGCATCATTTAGAAGTCTGCTTCCGGGCTTTCGAGCCTAGTTTATAGCAGCCCGAAGCTAGGGCAATGGCGAATCACAGGCGAAGACGAGACAGAACAGAAGTCAGCTGCTGTCTGAAATATGTCATTTTTGGCTTCAACGTCATATTTTGGGTGAGTCTGCTAAACTATTTAACATCTTATGGCTTTGCATTTCTAGGAATGTTATTCAGTCATGGTTTTGTCATGTCTTACTCAGTCAAATCTGACCATTTTCCTCTTTTCAGTTCTTGGGTTTCTCCATCCTGGCCATCGGAGTATGGGCGTGGTCAGAGAAGAACACATTCAACAACCTCAGCCGGCTGACACATATTCCGATGGATCCGGCCTTTGCGTTCATCATCGTTGGCGCCATCACTTTCATCATTGGGTTCACTGGCTGTGTCGGAGCCCTTCGAGAAAACACCTGCCTCTTGGCCTTTGTGAGTACCCAGCTTTGGTTGGTATTAACCTAAGCAAGTGCCAGCATGTGGAGGCAGCCTGTTTTAGAACAATGAGTTGACTAAAAGGCAGTGCTAATTTTTAAGAGCTCAGATCACTTATAATTATCCCAACATGAAGCTAAATGGCCCAAGCCAATGGAGAATAGGTATTGTGGCTGTCAGAGTAGATATATATTTGCTAAGGAGAACAGAGTATTCTGGACCACCTGGCTGCAGAAATGGATTGTATTTCCATTACCCCACAGTGTGCCCCCTGGTCTGACCTGTCTCATCTGACCTGACTTTCTCTCTGTCACTAGTACGCCATCTGCCTGGCGATCCTGCTGCTGATCGAGATGACCAGCGGCATCCTGTGCTTCATCTTCAAAGACTGGTTCAAGGAGCAGGCCACAGAGGGCTTCAGGGCCTTCATCGTCCACTACCGGGATGATCCGGATCAGCAGAACCTCATTGACTGGATCCAGGAGGGATGGGTGAGTGGGGGACACTGGATCCAGCTATGAGAATATACCTACTGGATCCAGGAGGGATGGGTGAGTGGGGGATACTGAATCCAGCTATCAGAATATACTGGAGCACAGATTCAATACTAGAGAGGAATACACCAGATCCCTGGTCTAGTGGGATAAATAGGATCCAGGAACAATCAGTGAGCCAGGAAGGATACATGTGGATCCAAGACTGAAAATGGATACACTGAATCCAGGAGGGCATAATCCTATGGGAATAATCATGGGTGCATTGTGAGGGATACACTTGCTGTTGTCAGCATGCATCACTGGATTCAAAATTTATAGGTTATCTTTATGTGCTCCAGGAGTTATTCATGCTACCCAAATGCTTCTGACTGGATGCCTCTGTTACCTCATGTTATCTGTGACTGTGCTGCTCCCAAAATACCGCTGTTTGACATGTGAACAGATAACCATGGGTATCACATCACTCATCAGTCCGTATGTAATGCTCGTCAAACCATTGTTGTTCAGAAAAATGACTCTCTCTCTCTCTCTCTCTCTCTCTCTCTCTCTCTCTCTCTCTCTCTCTCTCTCTCTCTCTCTCTCTCTCTCTCTCCTCTCTCTCTCTCTCTCTCTCTCTCTCTCTCTCCTCTCTCTCTCTCTCTCTCTCTCTCTCTCTCTCTCTCTCTCTCTCTCTCTCTCTCTCTCTCTCTCTCTCTCTCTCTCTCTCTCTCTCTCCCCTGCAGCTGCACTGTTGCGGTGTGGAGGGCCCCAAGGACTGGGACGGCAACCGCTACTTCAACTGCTCGGCCGTCGAAGTGGGCAGCAGCGAGGCGTGCGGCGTGCCCTTCAGCTGCTGCGTCAGAGATGAAAACGTGAGTGCCGAACGGAAACGGAAAATTAGCTGAGCTTCCATCCACACAGGGAGATTTGGTGGTTTAGTCCAAGGTAACTCCCAGTCTGCTCTAAAAACGGGGATGATCATGTATAATAGAGTGTCTGGTGACAATGTCATGATTTTGAGGTAGTGTATGACATACCACTTCCGAGGAAAATTGCATCGTGTGACGTTAACCAATGCAAGTTCTTACAACGCGCGCAACTCTCAGGTCCCACCACATAATACATGTGTACTTTGCTATGGGTGCTAGGCCTTTTGGTGGCACATTCTACTCTGACAACGATTCCATATACCTACCTACCTGTAGTGTAGAACCATTTAACGATGCAAATAATGACTAAATATGCGAAACTGGGAAAGCATGTCAAAAGCCCCAAAGAACCAAGAAGCCTGTACGAAGTCCATTACTATTTCGTGTGCGTAACTCTATCTTCCAAACTCCATCCTTCGTCACAGAGCACGTAAGACTGACACTGATACTGGGCCTGAGACTGAGAGTGAGACTGATGCTGCGTTTCCTTCCACAGGAGATAATACGCAACAAACAGTGCGGATATGGGGTGCGCAGCCCCGACTATGTAAGTACACATCTGTCACTCACTTAATTTGGGCAGAGAGGTTAGGTTTAGTTGGCCAATAGAAGTGATAGGATTTTCGGGCGATATATTTGCTGGACTGGAGATGCATGAATGATTTAGATACGTTTTGATGACAAGCAAACAACAGCGCTAAGCGCGACAAAAAATCTGCAATTTGTATTTACACTGATCATACACCTTGAATGTTGATAGAATACGATAGTTTTTTTGCACATTTTTCTTAAGAACTTTGCTTTGTGGTTGTTGTTACAACAGTAAACTTCATCATGTTTTTCGTATTTTGAATTGCAAGCTAAGATTTAGTGCTCATTCTTGCGGGAAAAGCAATTGCAATTTGCAAATAAGTATCGTTATTTTGCGACGCTTTGACATTGTGCTTGTTTGGTTACCGTACCATATGTTTCATACTGGTGTATCCTTGTCCTACAGCTCAAAGTGCATCATCTCATCTTTTAGACATAAATATTTCATAATTCACCCCAACTTTAACAACTGTTTCAGGTGTATCCTTTCTTCCCTAAGCACAAAACGCACATGCTTTAGGAGTTGCACTTCACTTGCTATGCAGAATAAATGCATAGGCATACGCGTTTCACTCACTCGGTGAAATGTCCCCTTCACTTCCCTCTATACTCACACGCTATAATAGCAACTCCCCCAATAACATGTCTTAACTTCGCCCAATATCACGCTTGCTTTCTCGCCTACTGGGCTTTCCCCGCACTAACCGCACTGCTGCCCTCTGTTGGCGACCCGGCGAACTTGTGGTTCGTTCGGCAGCAATCTGAGCGCGGCGCCGTCATTCACGAGAACGGCTGTCTGCGCGCCGGCGAGGAGTGGGCCGAGCGGAACCTCGTGCCCATCGCCGGCGCCACGGTCGCTATGGCCGTGCTGCAGGTACTGGCATCTGTCGGACAGAAAGAGAAACTCAGTTATGAGCTGCCGCCACCAGGGCTACCGGTTGACTTTTGTTGTTGGAGACTGCACTCTTTTCGCTCGCTTGCCTTTTTGTGCTTGCTAATTCCTGGCATTTGTGCTTTCTCTGCGGTTGTTGAGCTTTGTATCCTTTAATTTGCTGTGGCTTATTTTTTGTTTGTTTTTTCTTCTTGGTGGCTGACAATTAGCAGTTAGGTTAGGTCGTTCTGAATGTTCGCGATCTTTTCTTTTTGAACATAGTTTTGGCTCCGAATAGATGCTCTCATGCTCTCCTAGAATTCGTTCTGCTGAGGTATTTGCTGTCTTCTATGTTCTTGTAAATGGAACAAGCATATTTGGCTACAATGTAACTCCATGAAATCTAAATTGATAGTGAATGTAGCATGCTTTAGGTTATGATGTTTTCCTTATGCGATGTCAACTCTTTATCGTAAGCATGTCAGAAGTTCAACGAGACTCAGTCACTTCGTGACCATTGCAGTATTTGGAAAACGAAGCACTGCACTACGTAGGGATCGCCTCAATTGGATCTTTGTCCACAACCATTGTCTTTCTTCGTTTGAGGCGCGAGCAGTATGATCCTGAAATGAAGATTCTCTCAGAAGTATAGACAGCGATAGAACTTAAGGTTTTCCTCTCCTTGTCGAATTGCGAATCTTGTTCTTAAAATTACGCTCGGCTTTTGCATTTAGTTTCTTCCAGAAGATATGGAAACTGAACAGTGGATTGGGCCATCAACCCATTCACGGGGCTGGTGTCAGATTTGTCTTTTGACAGTCGCCGGCTGTGTCACCGGGTAGTGAGAGAAGGACAATAATGTGCTCGTTAAAAGAAGACATTGATGAGGACGAAGAGAGCCGATGGAATTTTGTCTTGAGTGGCGAACTTATGAGATACTCGCGTCGAAGGCACGAACAAACCAACGAATGGCGTCAAATACCTACTTCAGAGGTAAAAAGGTAAAACGGTAAACAACAAACAACAACTACGATTTCGGATACGAAGAGTTGAATATCCACGGGTACGACCTCTTTTTTCTTCCGAGTTAGAGGTAGGGAACCGTACACCGCATGCATCCAATCCCAACCGCATACTTCTGGCCCACATGGCCCACACACCTTGCATTCCTTGCATGCTACACAACTAACACAACGTCAACAAGGGCTCTTTCGGTTATTCCCCGCGCGCATTGGTTCTCATGAAAGGATCAATCTGTCTCATCGGTTCTCTGCATGGCGGCGACTCTTCATTCATTTGCACGTGATTTTCCCATCCTGCGTCTGCATTCCTTGTCCAATCATATCTTGAGAATCAACCTCTTTCACCAATCGTCTTCCGAATCACTCATCTCCCGACCAATCAGCGACCGTCGTGCGCCGATGTCGACCAATGAACGGCGGCCAGCCGTCTGAACAGCCAATGAGCGTCGTCGGCGCTGTTTCAGCCGCATGACGCTGCCAATAAGATCTACCAAACGGGCTGTCTACCGGCCGGAGAAGCTTGGGTCGAACGAAATCTTCTGGTTGTAGCAGGCGTGGCTGTGGGAGTGGCGTTCCTCCAGGTAGGTAGGGGCGTGGCTTCGTCCCAGGTAGGAATGGGAGTGGCTGTATCTCTGGTAAGTAGGAATGGGCGTGGCTTTGACTCCTGTAGGCGTAGAAAAGCGCGTTTTTATCTGCTAGGTATTGGAGAGTTGGCATGCTTGGAATCGATAGCGAATACGTAATTTTTCTTCGAGTGTGACGACTTAACCCGGCAGTTGCTGGGGTATTTCGCCACCCACCGTTTGCTGGGGGGGGGGGGGGGGGGGGCGTTAAACGCCCCCAGCCGATAACTCGAGAACCAATAGGCGCAGCGAAACGCACGAGGCGGCAAACGAAAGAGCGCGACGAGACGCTTCAGAGGAGTACTTAAAAGTTGAATTTTGAGGTCACAGGTCGGGTCAAGGTCAGGTCAAACACCTGAAATCGGGCTTTCAGTAGCATGGACTTCAGGACTTCCCAATGGGCACCTCTCGTCATAAACTCTGTCAAAACGGTGCACAATCCATCATATAAGGCCTAAAAGAGTGTCAGCTCCATGTAGGGGTCAGTCAAGCATAGGTCAGGGTCAAGGTCAGGTCAACCGGGCAGGCACATATACCCGAAAATCAAAACTGATATTCGCAGCCTGTGACACATGTTTTATAGGTAATTTGAGGCGTAGAACACGATGGTGACATTCATTTTATCATATCTGTACGTGTTTGGCTCAAAAAGTTCAATTTAAGAAATGCGTGTATCATGGTCGTGAAGAAGTCACGAAAAATTGCCAAGATTCAGTTCAAGATTATGGAAAATGCGGAACGATAATCAATAATCGAAGATAGCCATTTGATTGATCATGGTATTGGCAGTCTAATGGCGTTTACGGCATGTCTGTATGTCTATTCTGTGATTTTATATGATTTTTTGAACATATGCCGTTTTTGGTCGAAAACTCAGAAATCATGACGTCACTAAAACCTCGATATCTCAAAAATTTTCCGACCGATTTTTTTGAAACTTTGTCACAATAAACTTCAATCAATTCCCTACAGGTACCCAAAATTTGGCGCGCCTGCGGCGCGCCGTTTTTATGCTATGGCCCGGCGAAAAAAGTGGGGGCGTTTAACGCCCCCCCCCCCCCCAGCAACTCGCGGGTTAAGACATCGAATAAGACTCGAAGGAAACAGAGCCTCACGGGCCACCAAAGCGCCGTCTTGGTAGGCAATAGGTATAACGTTTCTGCCTGCTTACTGGTTGTAGTAGTTTGTGCTTGGTAGAAGTACTGTAGTTTGGTGTTCTGTGTGTATTTACCCACAACCGTTGCCCTGTGTGAAGCGTACTGTTCACATGGAGACCACGTGGTAATAGACCATATGGATGGGTGAAGCTTGCTCTATAGTGGTCACCTGTAATTGCAATTCTTAATCTTTACGTATCGGAAAATTACGTTACCGAATTTCCGTGAAATACATTAACCTGGCACAGGGCTCCCGAACGGTTTTGCGTTTTACGTGAAGTGTCAGCAATCGCCTTCATTTCACCAAATTTAGCCATCCCTAGCAGATGTCCCCACTCGCAGGTTGTAGCACTCCCCGCTGACACCGCTCCCCCGTTTTCAGATTCTCGGCATCTGCTTTGCGCAGAATCTACGCGCGGACATTTTCGCCCAAAAGTCCAAGTGGCGCTGACGGTGTGTGCCGCGGGCGTGACCGGTCTCCATGGTCCGGTGACCGGTCTCCATGGTCCCGTGACCGGCCCCCATGGTCCCGTGACCGGCCCCATGGTCCCGTGTGGTCCCGCCGGCGCTCCACCTCTCTCCCTCGACTCTACTCCTCTGTCCTGACCTGTCCCGGGGTCAGCATGCTGACCGGCCGCCGCCCAGCCGCTGGGATGATGAATAAGTAATCGCTCAATATATTTTTTTTTGTTGGTTGATTTAAAGGCGATATTGATATGCTAGGAAAATTTTTATTGGATTTTATGGTACTAGTGGAATTTTTCAATGGGATATCTAAAGCCAAAATTTACGTAAAGCGGAACTTGTTCCACAGGCTCTGAGCTTATTTTTACCAAATCTGTCCATCATCCAGTACTTTATACTTTTCGGCTTAAATATTTGAGTCAACAAAGTGAATATTTCCATTATTCGGGGTACATTTAGCCATAGCATTTGCCCATCCAAGCATTATTTGTGCTTGAAGTTATTTATGTCCGTTAGTGGACTGGGTCAATTTCCGTTCTATATTTACGGGGACGTTTTTACGCCAACTTTATCCTCTCATTGTCCTTGACATTTTCCATTGCATCCATCCTCCACATGTTCGTTGCTCTGCGCCGGATGGTCTGCTGCCAACTCTTATCTCGTTACGGAAGCACTCCAGCTTCCTGTCTTCCAGGAAACTTCTTCTGTGACCGACGTGAAGCTCTCTACTCTCGAGTATGTGCTGGCGCTCTGGCAGATGTTTTTCATATCGCCAAAGTGTGACGTCAGATCTGCCGACCGGATTGGTCGGGATAGACTGCCGCGAGTTTTGATTGGTCAGCGGGTCGAGTCCTTGCTCGGTGATTGGTGGAAAGTGATGGCGTGACAGAACAGTCGAATCTCATTCCTTTCGGAAGTGGCCAAGGAGGGTGCTGTTTCATCGCCAAGCTTTCTGAATGATATTCGTGGTGAATTCATCTTCTGAATGGTACTCGTGGTGGATACAACTCGTGGAAAGACGTACCGACAAAAATCAAACTGGGGTTGGTCAGCGCTGGACTTATCGCGACGAGCATTGAGTGTCCATTGGTAGATACTGATCATCTGAAAAGGCGTTCGAGTGTGAAACAACTGTGCTTGACAACATTATGTCTGAGTACATGTCAGAAGTGAGGGTTTGCGCGCGTTACGCGCCTATCTTAGGTTAACGCAAAATAACGGTACTAAAACGGTCGTGTTTTGACCTGAGCACGTGCTGTACGAATGACAACAATGTCCGAGATCGTACTCGTGTCGAGCTCCACGATGTATAGGGTAAAGTCGCTGAGATTATGTACTACTTAGCGTAGATCGTGTGAGCTCTGTATATGCCAACGTCCCGAAGCATAAGCGTGTGAGTTTAGCTAGTGAGAGTGACCTCCCGCTCAAATGTTCCCGAACGGCGCCGAAAAACTAACGCCGAATCGCCGCAGTTTCGATGTAAGCGTTTCGGTTGGACCTTCTCCCAAATCTTGGTAGTGTTTCATGCATCGCGGAGTTATACTCAGCCTAACCTTTTGAATTGGAGCGTGACGTCAATGCCGTGCGAGTGAATGGGTGTATCCACTCGTCCGATGCGTAGTCCGTAGTCGTGGTTTAAGTGAGCGTTTATTGTCTGCATCTCCGTTTGCGTGTGTGGCTGGAGATGTGTGCGCGCCCGTCCCCTTCTGGGGTGCTCGAATGACGCGCCACACTGCATGGTATCCTCGTGGTGCACTCCGCTGCGAAAACAACCACATGCACACTCACATTTGCACTTCACTAGTACCTATCATTCGCCGATGGCGTGGTCTAGCCTCGTCCGAGTGTCGGTCGCAGATGATTTCACGGCCTTGGAATGTCCCAGTGCAATGTGTGTGAATGGAGCTAGATACACTCAAACGCGGCGTCGGTACAGCGGTGTAGATATTAGCGTTCGCACAAACTCTGCATCAAGGAGACGTGTTGCTGTGATGTCTGTAAAAATGTTAACGAATGCGCAGAAAACACTCGACGTTTTTACTTCGCCGTCGTTCTAAAGGGCCTAAGTTATGTGTATTTCGCTTCATTGACTGTTTTACCGCATGGGCTAAAGTCAAACGATTACGATCAATCATAAGACAGACACAACGTTTGCTGGATGCTTGGTTGCGGATTCTTATTTACAAATGTCTAGTTAAGTGTCTATATGCTAGCTTTAAGATCAACTCCGTTAGTTTCGCACACTACAATGGGTACGGTGATAACCGGTTCACTTTTGCTTTATTCTATATTTCTATGGCACATTTTCACTGATGTATGCCCGTGCGCCTAGCTTCTTAGAACTTGGTTTACCGTGTCGTGTTGGTAGTTTATTCAGCTTTTATATAATACATGCACTGGTCGAGATAAATGCTGCTTGTGATTGTTTTGTTGAAGGGGACGAGTCATAATGCAGCAAAGCTTTGATAAAACAAGAACTTCTGTTAAATGAAGATTCGTTAAAGCACTAGCTTGCTTCTTTTGATCAGGGCGAATTTAGAGACTCGATTTCCTGTAAATGCATTGAGATACGAGACCTGTCAATTTTGAGATATTGAACGTTCATTTCCTGTCCGTAATAACCTAGTCGTCCCGTTCGTGAATCACAATCGGGAGATCGGTTTGGGACTCACTTTGGTGCAGATCCTTCCATTTGCTTTATCGAGATTCAGGGCGTCGCACCGGGCTGGGCCATGATCAACCATGATCGAATTGCGACTCTGAGCTGTCTGTAAACAGCACGGTCGGCTATGGATGCGGCCGGCGCGCCCGCAAAGTGTCATAACTCCAATCAACAGCAAGGAATCGAAACATTGTCTCAGCTCATGACGCTTACATCGCGTATTGCAGCAATTCCACACAGACTTACATATGTCGTTCTATATTTGTTATCAGCTATCGCCGTTCATCTCCTCGGTCTCAGACTCGCCGCTGACAGCCTCTTCTGCCATCTGTTGGCCAGTTTCCGAAGCTTTGTTTGCTGCTGGTTCCGCCAGGCGACCACGGATGAAGCGTCGGGTCTTGATCTGCGGAACCAGTTTGACCTGTCCGTCCCACGCGCGCAGGTACAGAACAGCCTCCTCGTTGGTTAGGTCAGCCACCTCTGCAGGGTCACGGGAGGTCAAGGTCAGCCGAATCACTTGCGGCCAGTCCACGTAATCGGTAATTTGGCATTCTTTTATGTAAAAATTCCTTATAATGAGCGCGCAAAGGCGATCTTTTTGCATGTTCGATAGGATTAGATAACTAATTTGCCAAAACTCAACCAACCATAATCCAACATTTTTTCTCCCAATTCTACCCTAATTTCAGCCATCATATTTTCATGACAGGCTCATGAGAATATTCTCATTACCATCTAATCCTAGTTTTACACCAACCCCTAATTTTCCTCCTGTCGCTCACCAATGCCGCCCTGTGTGAATTCGTCTGTCTCAGCACGCAGGGTAGCCTCCAGTGCGGCCAGCCTCTGAGGGGGTTTGGCGCGCCGTCCGGCGGGTCCCCGGGGTGCAGCACGACCCCTCAGCTGCTCCAGCTCAGCAGTGTGGCGCGCGATATATCTGTAAGGAGGGGGTACGGGCGGGGGGGGGGGGGGTTAGCCCGCTGTAGGGGAATGGTGCTGACTATGTGCGTGAATAGTAAGTGATGTGAAAGTTTTGGTTTTGTTATCATGATACGATGATGTAGACTCTCATTATCTCATATGAAAATTTGAGCATGCAGTTCACGCATACACAGAAGGATGCATGAACCGTGGTTGACATTTATCTTGCATTGCAATATTTCACTTTAAAATGGGCCAGCCCATTACGTTCCGAGTAAACGTGACTTGTTGAAGAGATGCTCACCCTACCCCATCTCAACCTTCTTAAACCCTGCACCCTCATGCTTTCCTACTCTCTTGGGGTGGGGGGTGGGGGGTAAGCCTGCTGTGGCGGGATGGTGCTGACTATGTGCGTGAATAGGGGATTCCCTATTCACTCTACCCACTTTCCTTAACCTGACCTACACCTTCACTCAAGCATGCTCGCCCAATCCACCCAATACACTACACTCGACCATTCACTCACTTTGTTCTACTCTACTCTACTCTACTCTACTCTACCCTACCTCTTACTCCCTCGCCTGCCTGTATAGGTACTCACTGTTCAATGAGCTGATGTGTCTGCTCCACCGTGAACCTCTGTTTTTCAGCTGGCAGGTTGTCCCTGAACCAGACGAGCCTCTCTGACAGCAACCTCAGGTGTTGGTGTCCGCGCTCCTTCTTCTGCTCCCTGCGCGCTGTCCTGAGCGGCAACAAAAGATGCATCGTTCGTTTTAAGTTCGACCCTCACTGTAATCGTCACTCTAAACAAGACACAAGGTTTGTTAGATAATTTTGGAAAACTGGTTAGCGTGCACTGCTTTTTACAGATGTTGATTAACCTGTTCAAAACTGTTTGTATTTGACTCCCATTTCCCGGACTCACAATGAGTATTTGGCTATATCACAGCGATACTCTACTTGTCGAGAATCATCACTTAACCCGCGCCCCACTGGGGGGGGGGGGGGCTATTTATAGCCCCCCCCCCCTCCCGTTTTTCTGCAATAACTTCCAAACCGTTTGACGTATCAACGCCAAACTTTCAGTACCTTCGGCTGCATCAATCTGACACCTTGTGTCAAAATTTGAACTTCGTACCTACCATAGGTCGGCCGGAAATGACGTCAGTGACGTCATGTTCGGCCGATTTCGACGCAAAACATTGAACCACGGCAATCGCTCCCAAGAGCTCAGTTTTTAAGCTAGATCCAATTTCTTTGCATGAGAGGACTCAGAATAGACTGCGCTATCAAACTGCTATCTCGGATTTTGGAAATTTTGAAAATTTCGAAAATTTTATATAATAATATTCAAAATTTATATTTTTACATTTTTTTCAAAAAGGTTTTGACTTTTCGAAAAAACCGGAATATATGTGATAGAACACATTATTATGATTAACTCTAGCAAGTTTTAGCCAAATATCTTCAAAAATGGCCAAGTTATACGCATTATTGCAAAAAATTAACAATTATTAATTTTTCAAATCAATTTTTTCAGCACAAATTCGACGTCGTACGCCAATATAAATAGCACCATCGTGTTCCTGAGCTCAAACTGCATCCAACAGACACCTTTTTTGTTGAAAAATTTTAACTTCAAAATTTGACCTTTTTTGACCTGAAAGTGACCTGACCTAAGCTAAATTTGACTCAAAATGACCTCGAATGACACAGACGACATCAAATTCGAAATGTTTGGCCTAAATGGACCATAAAACATGTGTCACGTGACCGACGGATGATATAATATTTTCGTGACCTGTGATGACCTGACCTTGACCTGAAAATCAAAGTACAAGTTTGGTACCCTCAGAGTATCTAGAGCATCTGTTCACGAGTGTGTGAACCAAAAATGAGCCTGATCTGACTTGTAAGACGGCGGCCAGAGCCCAAAACGTGAAGAAGCCAAAATGCTAATAATTTTTACTTTGACCTGACCTGTGACGTCATCGGTGACCTCGAGGTCAATGAAATTAGATTTCGCTCGACAGTTTTTCCGGGGCTATCAGACGCCGTTTGAATTTTGACGATCGGCACAGTAGTTTAGTTTCGGAGTTAGAAGGGGGGGGGGGGCTATGAATAGCCCCCCCCCAGTAGGGCGTGTTATACGCAGACCCCAGTGGGGCGCGGGTTAACTCATCAATCAATATTCAATTGCACGGTATTTAAGCTACACGCTACTTTATCGGTGTTCAAAATAATTTTTGACAATATTTTCGTCTCACACAAAGTGCACCGACCAATTTTCCCACTCATTTTCTCGGCAAATTGTGTGCTATGTTAAAAAAGAAAGACATTGTCCAGTGAGGCAGTGAGGGTCGAACTCAAGAAAAACCGCTCTGTAAAAGTACCAGTATAATGCCTTTTGAATGAAGGGTTAAAAGCTTGTGCTATATCTTATGAGTGTGGATTACTTTAAAGTACCTAACAATGCATGTTTGGGTATACTTACTTTATCTTCTTCTTCACAATTGCAGCAGCCTTTCTACTATTGGGGTGAACCAGCTTGGGCTCTTTTTTCTTCTCAAGCTTGCCCTGTAAAATAAATTAAAATGAGCAGAGCAGCAAAGTAGAGAGCACCCCCAGACAATGAGTTTAGTGGAGGGAATTGGTCTGGGCTAGGGGCGAATTCCTTGTTAGCCATCCAGAATGCTACATCCACCTGTAAAGACTTGGTGTTTCCTTCCTGGGAACAGCACATTGCCTTCTCGTCCCCAGGCAATGCTTTCCAAATCATTCGTGTCGATGCTTGCAAGACAAAATAAAGCTATTTTTGATATGATTCATTCTGCCCAAAGAACCTTGCTGCAGGTTTTATCTGCTTCACACAAAGGAGGTGCCACCCCGAACCATGACAGCACGGCAGCACTGTATCCAATTCGGCATTAGTAGAGCAGACATCACACAAAAGTCCTCCAACCAAGGATATGCGCTGTTGGTTTGTAGGTTGTAGGGTAGGTTTGTATAGGGTTTTAGGTTGTAGGCTTGTCAGTTGTAGGTTGTAGGTTGTATGTTAGGTAAGGTCACGTTCGGTGTGGTTTGTTTAGGTTTTGTTAGAAAGAAGCACCTCCGGGTATAGCGCCTCTCCTTATTTGGAAAACCTTCATGTGACGTCTGCTCTACTAATACCCCAAATTCTGACTGGTTAGTGCTATGTAGCCTGTAGGTGGTAATGATGTATACTGATACATTGCAACCTTTAATGGTAGCTTAAAATCGAAAAGCTACAAAATTAATGTATATCACAATGCTATATGACCTGATCACCCTGACCGAATAATGACGTGATGACCCACAAGGGAAACAGGCAAGCTAGGTTAGGTACCTATATACCAACGCAATCAGCACTTATTTGAACGGCCTTGCATTCCAATTCGGCAAGATGACAAAATCAGACAGCTTACCATTATGTTGTGTGCTACTCAAGAGATTCTTTGCTTCTTAATTTCTTAATATTTCAAATGTCAAATTATATACATTCTTCTCGGAGGAGCTCTATAACCACCGCGTGGACAACTTCGATGAACGACATTCGACGCGTGGTTTGCGCGGTACCAATGTATTGAAACACGAGCGCCAGCTACGCCGCGCTTGAGCGCAGCCATATCCTGGGATGATTTTTGGTATATAGTTGCACTAGCTCTCAGTTTTAGTTGTTTTTTAGATTATATAGTATTATGTTCAAATGTATTTTTAGGTAAAAACAGAATTGGAGTATTTTGTTTTTAATTCAAAAGTTTCATCACAACTCAAGTTAATCAAGTTACAACCCTTAACCCGGCACACTGGCGGATCCAGGCTTGCGTTTTGGGGGGGGGGGGGCCAACTCATGCAGGAGCCAAACCTAGGGTACCCCCAAATCCTGTTTTCTCATCGGATTTAGGCCACTTATTTTTCGTCACAGCCCTGACACTATGATTTTTTTTAACTGAAAAGAAAAATATATAAATGGTAGCCCACCCGACCCATGCCTTTATATTACTTTGTAAACACTTACCATTGTTTTTATCGACCAGTTAAAGGGACCCTCCCACCTTAACATTAGATTTGAGCTGAGATAGCCAAAATGGGGTCCCTGGCTCACAATTACCGGTTTCGGCACGCACTCACAACATCGAGAAATGCCTTAAATCGGAAATATTGAATTTCAAATTGCAGCATTTTGATTCAGAGGGGCTAATGCTTTTGGATACCCCTCTGAATGTGTGACGTCAGCGGAGATCTAATGATTTTTTTAATATTTTACTAAAACGTTTGGTAGCATGCGGTGGTATAGGCTGCTTTGCGCGCAACAAATGCCGCACTTTCAAATAAAGTCGCTAGGAACAGCAGCGGATATCCCAAAAAGTAAACAAAAACAAAAGTCTAATCTCTTGAAAACCGGTGAATATTTTTCAATAAAATTTGGTAGATATTCGTTTTCGCCCTTTCTGAACCTAGCGTCATCACTTTCATGCCAATTCATTAACTTTTTTGAAGGTGGGAGTGTCTCTTTAACCCGCTTCGAGTCAGTGCTTGGGTCCCTTTGCGGGCCGGAGGTGGTAAAACAGCCCTGTCTAACTCGGCTCCTGGGCCACGCCCTGATTGAACTATGTTTCGTTATCGTTTGGGGGAGGGGGAAAACGGGCCACTTTAGGCCTCTGGGAAGGGGGCATGGCCCTAAATGCCCCCTCCCTGGATCCGCCAGTGTAAGAAGAGACCATTGGAGCTGCAGTTGGGTTGTAATAACACGGAAGGTGGGTTCCTACCATACTACGTTGTTGCTAAACGAGGCTCGTGTCTAGGACACGCCTGCAACTCTAATAACAGTGTGTGCCGCACCGTCTGCCACCCAGTGCAGTGCACAACAATCGATCGGTTCTGGTTCCAGTGGGATGCTGCGCCTTTTGAACCACGCGGTGGGTCGCGGTCCCATCGGGCTGGTGTCAGTTCTCAGGCTCTTTAACAGCTAATTCCGGTTAAAGGAAAAGGGCCACCTTCGTGAAATATGAAGATATCGTTGTTTTTCATTTTGACATTATTATTTTTCATTTTCTTTTTAAAACTGGTGCCAGAAGTGCACAATTCGCGAAAAAGTATTTAAAACTATTTAACATATTGGTACTATGTTGATACTCTCTACGGCACCTACTGTATGATGGCATAGCGATGACGTCACACTCAAGCCAATCAGCGTTCAGAAGACAGACTCGTCTGATTGTGTCAGATAAGCTGATTGGTTAAAGCTGAGCTGGTTGGAGCTGATTGGTAAAAAACCAAAGCCTCGCCGCGGGTGGCTGTATTGTCGGATAAGAACGCATTCCTGGGATAAGGACGCATTCCTGGCGTATTTTCTTTTAAAATTGCCGATAACTACGAATGGAGGCCGAAATCGGCCGTAAGGAGTTCAACAGATAGGTTTTCGGACACGGGCTACAAGATGGCTATCTCAGTTTCAATCCCCATGTTAAAGGTGGCCCTTTTCCTTTAAGCCAAATATAAACGGTGAACCGTGCGAGATTTAGCGTCTCCGTCAAATACTTCCATACTCCCGGCTCTCCGTAGTAAAAGATGTACAAGATTTAGAAGACGTTATTATTCAAAACAACATAGGGCCAAAACAACAAACAGACTGCAACAGTTAAAGAATAGACGCGCAACTAAAATTTGGACAAGAATTACCCGATGTGAGGGAATTCAACCCTCAAGCCAAATAACAGGAGCAGTCACCTACCTCGGACGCTGCCAGCCACGGAGCCTCCGATAGACGGCGAGCGCTACGTTTTAAGCGGTCCGAGGCGAAAGCATGTGACGTGACCGGCCCGGGGTAGCGGCCAGCCCCGTCCCATGACGGCGGCTGCACCTGAGTCCTACCCAGGCGTCGCTGACATTACATACATACCACCTTCTCCGGGAGGGGGCTTAAATCCCCTTACTCCGGGGGAGGGTGCATGTATGCAATGTTTACAAGAATCATTGTAACGCGAGCGAGTTAAAACAGAAGCAGAACGCTATAAAATGAGGCCAAATGAAGACAAATTAATATAGCATACAACTGATAATGACAAGCGATAAGTACGAAATGCAAGTTAATGACACCTCAATGAAGCACAGCAATGAAACGTGAAAAATACAGACACTCAATGACCACATTATTTAGCTATCACATTTTTTTGTTTTGTTTTAATGAAACGTGAAGAATACAAACACACAATGACATTATTTAGCTATTCCATTTTTGTTTTGTTTTGAGCTACAATATCCCATGTCAAGTCAGCACCGACTGCGCGAGGCAACCGGCGTGGGTCCTCCTCGGTGTCGCCCGTCGGCCACTTTGCCGTCCCACTAGCTGCGCGGTTTGCAGTCTCCGTACACCGTCGGACCTCCAGCCGCATTGGTGCCGCACTGAGCGCCCGGTGCCCCGCGGGAGGAGCGCAGCTCCAGCAGCTTCTAGGCCTCGGACAGGATCGGTCGCCCCCTTGAGCCGAGCAGGGCGCGGCGGAGCAGCTGCGCAAGGTGCTACCAGCGTACCGCAGCGCTGTAGAGGGCGCAGCGGCAGCAGCCGCGTGAGGCGCCATCAGCGCACCGCAGGTCCGCGCGGTGGCGCTAGTAGCGCAGCAGCAGGCGCGACGGCAGCAGCCGCGGGTGGCGCTACCGAGCGCAGGTCCGCGCGTTGGTGCTGGCAGCGTGGCACAGAGTGCATGACCGCCGCGTGGGGTGCAAGCAGCATGTCGAATGTCTCTGATTCACCCCACTGCAGCGGTGTTGACGGCAATCCTGATCGACGGCACCCAGTACACCGGTTTGGAGGAGGTCCGTGTGGGGCGCTGGCAGCGGCTCACAGATTGCGCGGCTGTAGCAGCCGCGTGAGGCGCTAGCAGCGTGTCGCAGCGCCGCAGAGGGCGCGGCGGCAACAGCCGCGAGAGGCGGCTGAGGCGCTGGCGGCTTCGTGCGAGGCGCTAGGAGCGCGCCGAGCGTCAGCGGAGCGGCGCTCGCGTCGGCGACCTCTCCGTCTGGCGGCGCTCGCGTCGACGCCCCCTCGTGGCGGCGCCCTCATCGGGGCCCTCAGGGCGACACTTAAGTGGCACCCTCATGGCGACACCTCCTCTGGCGGCGACACCTCCTCTGGCGGCGCTCATGGCGACACCAACAGGCGTCGCTGGCGACACCTCCTCAGGCGGCGCTAGGTGGCGCTCATGGCGACACCAACTGCGGCGCCCTCCGGACGACACCTTTCTATCTCTCTCTTCTCCGCGGCGGGCGGCGGCAGGCGACACCCTCTGGGCGGCACCTTCTGTCGGCGACGCTTCTCTCTCACCTCTCTCTTCCTTCGCGGCGGGCGGCGGGCGGCGGGCGGCGGGCGGCGGACGGCGGACGGCGGGCGGCGGACGACGGCGGCGGCGCGACGGCTTCTCTCTTTCTCTTCCGGCGGCAGCTGGCCTGCTCGTCAGCCGCCGGCCTGGCAGCCTCGGAGCCGCCCGGCGAGATCCGCGGCGAATGCTGGCAGCAGTCTCGGAGCCAACCAGGACGAGCCGCTGAAGAACCGTCATGACGAAAGTCTGCGGGCTAGAAATCTACTTTACCATCTAACACAAATACATTACACACAATACATACTCACACAATACATATACATTACACACATCAACATACACTAACAAGACTTGTGAATAAAGTGTTTTTGAGTAGGAGAAAGCACAGTGGCGAAATACTGAAAGAGGTGTCTTAAGACACCTGCGATATGAAATTGAAGACCGAAGAGGCATATTGACATTGGAAGTGCAGAGTCGAGACTGATGACATTGACGAATCACAAGACTAATATTTGGCCTGGGAAGCGCCGAAGATCACCTGAAAGAGAAATCATTAAAGACCATTTTCCGAACGTAGCGGTATAAGGATCAAACCCCAGGAGAAATTACTAAAGGCCTGAACGTCAGCCGGGAAGGGAGTTAATTGCTACGTTATGCCGAACAATAACGGCGCCAAAACGAATAAAATTCCGCTACGTAGGGCATGGTCAAGTAGGTAAAACAGTTCACTTAAAAGTGTCAATTTTGTGACTGACTGCCTTACCGAAAGTCGAGGACAAAACCTCTTTCAATTGATTGCACAGGCAGCAGTGAGACCGTGAAGCGGACCGTAGACATACTTACCTGGAATTGTAGGACATTTCTTAGGAACTTTATTTCATTGAACTCGGATTGGCAGAGGATCGCGAAAGGGTTGTGTGAGGATAGGAATAATATAAAGGGGTTTAAATAATAGAAAGAAGCAGCCACCATTTGAAAGCAAAGGGCAGATGGCTAATCCACGCTTGAACGTTCAATTCATTTTAAGGGCAGCAGTGACTAGAGGCCGTGAAGCGGACCGTGGACATACTTACCTGAAATTGTAGGACATTTCTTAGGAACTTTCTTCGTACTTTCCTTGGATTGGCTCGGATTGGCTCGGATCGCAAAAGGGTTGTGTGAGGATAGGAATTATTTATAGGGTGGCCATTAGCAAGAAGCAACCACCATTTGAATGCAAAGGGCAGATGGCTAATCGGATATATTATAAAAGAGAAGTTGTCTGTGTGT